GAAGAAGACGAATACTTAACTCGAAGTTAATTCCATTAGGAGAGTACGCGAGGAAATTTGACCCTAGCCAATATCCCATGTGTGCACTCGTGAGCGTGTAAGACAACTATTGTAATTCTTTTTTCTTTGTAAGACAAGTGCCGTTTATTTTTTCTTTTTCCTTTTTTGTTTGTTTCTTCTATTTATAATTTTATTTGTATTTATTATTTTATTTTTACTTTATCTTTTTAAATGTAATTGTATTTTGAAAAAAAACTTTTTGGTTTAAAAAAGATGGTTATCTTGGAATAAAAATTTTAATTTCAATTTTTCCCCATATCAACGTTTAGCGTCAGGCGTAAAAAACATATAAATATTTTAGGGAAGAAAAAAACACTAAAAAAAGTTAACATCGGAAACTGGCGGCAAAAAAATAATTTCTGAAAATAAAAAGTTTAAAAAAAAGTCAATATTGTATTTTTGTGGTCAAAATTGATTAAATTTGGGTTACAATTAAGAATTGAGAGTAAAAGGTTCGGGGTAATTTTGTCATATACATTAACTTTTCTTTTATTTGTAATGAGTTTTTGTGCATAAGTCCCTAACCAACCATCTTTACTATTCTAGGTTCAGGGGTTATATCTCTTACGCCAATAAATTCATCTATTTAATATGTATTATAAATAAAGGAAAAATTAATGTATATAACAATATTACCCCTAACCATTTACATCCAATTTTTAATCATAACCCCAAATTAATCAATTTTGACCACAAAAATTCAATTTTGAATATTTTTTTTTAAACTTTTTTTGAGAAATTATTTTTTCCGCCGGTTTCCGGCGTTGACTTTTGTTTTTTTTTTATCTGGTCTGTTTTTTCCGCCGCCGGTTTCCGGCGTTTAATTTTTTTTTGTCTGTTTTTTCCACCGCTGGTTTCCGGCGTTGACTTTTTTTTTTTACGTCCGCCGCTAAACGTTGACCGTAATTGTGCTATCATTAACAGTAATTTTATTGTCACTAACAGTAAATTAACGTAATTATACTATCACTAACAGTACATTAACGGAATTGTACTGCCGTTAACAATACATTTATGTAATTGTACTGCCGTTGATAGTAGTATTAGAGTCAACGACAATATTTTTATTTATTTTTTGATTTTTTATTTTTTTTGTTTTATTTGTTGACAAGTCAACGTAATTATATTATTGTCGTTGACAATAAAATAACTGTAAACACAATAATATTACTGTCAACCACATCAATAATTTTTTATTTTTGGTTTTTTGTTTTGTTTGAGTTCTAGACAAAGTAACGTAATAATATTACTGTCTATTATTGTAATATTATTGTAAACACAATAATATTATTGTGGTTGACGGTAATATTACTGTTGTTACGTTAACGACAGTAATATTAATTTTTTTGGCTTTTTATTATGTTTACCTTTGACCCTAAATCCACGTATCTTAATTAATAAACGTAAGGTTGCTCCTGGTAAACCCTAAGAAACTTTTCCCGCACATTTGATAGTTATCTCATTTATTTTATTGTTTTATTTTACGTAATATAATAAAGTTTAATAAATCCGTTAAGTATTCAGACTTTTTGGCCCAAAATTTACCTATGCTTTTCCACTAAAATTGTCACTTTAGTTAATATTAATTTATGAAAAAATTATTCAATTGTTTAGAAAACATTTGGTTCTTATTTTATTAATTAAAGTAGGGCAGTTTACAAATAAGTTTATCAATGGGTAGTTATTCATAAAGGGGTCCAGACAAAAAACTATTTTACAAAAAAGTCCACACATTGTCTAGAGATTTGTAAAAGACTAAAATAGCCCATCACATTTGAATATGCTCCAATTTCATCATTTAATTTAATTTAACATCAATTTGAACCCAAATTTCACCAAAATTATTCAATTTTGACCCAAAACACAATTTTAAGTACAATTTCGCCGGTCAACCGCCGGTCTTCGGCGTTTATAGGAGAAATAGAGTTGGAGAAAGAGAGAATTAATAATACGTAATAGAAAGCCCCATTTTGTTATGGGTGTAACTAAATCCTAACTAATCTAGGTAACCAAATCATAATAGAATCCTAATATTACAAGAGTTCTTATAATATGATATACTCTAATACGCCCCCGCAGTCGAAACGTGACGAACGTGAAGACTGGACAATCACTTGCTAACGTGAAGACTGGACAATCACTTGGTAACACGCTCCCGCAGTCGGAACGAATAAACTTCAAACGTGAAGATTGGACAAAAAAACCCGCAAAATCCAGCAGTAGTGAAATCCTTTGCGAAAATATCTCCCAAATTAATAGAAAAAAAAAATAATAATAATAATAATAATAATAACAACAGTGGAGAGAATTTTTTTTTTTTTTTGAATCGAGAGAGAGAAGATATGAGAGAGGGAAGAAGAATAATTAAAGAAGGATATAGATCAAAAGAGAGAGAAAAGATTAACCGACTAGGAAGAAGAAGATGTCGGAAAATAATATACGTTACCACCACCGGGGGAGGGAGAAAATTGGTTTGGTGGTCGCCGGCCATGGAGAAGAAGAGAGGCAGCGGCTAGGTTTTAGGCCATGGAGAAGAAGAAGAAGAAGAAAAAAAGATAGAGAAGATGCACCACCGAGAGAGGGAGAAAATTCGGGGGTGTTCATGGAAAAGATAGAAAAAAGAAAGAAAAATATTAGAGTACCACCACCGGGGGAGGGAGAAAATTGGGTGGTCACCGCCATGGAGAAGAAAGGCGGCTAGGTTAAAACAACTAGGTTAAAAAACCTGGTGCTCTGATACCATATAGGAGAAATAGAGTTGGAGAAAGAGGGAATTAATAATACGTAATAGAAACCCCCATTTTGTTATGGGTGTAACTAAATCCTAACTAATCTAGGTAACCAAATCATAATAGAATCCTAAAATTACAAGAGTTCTTATAATATAATATACTCTAATAGCGTTGACCGCCAGTTTCAAGCATTGACTTTTTTTTTCACTTCCTGATTTTTTTGTCAGTCTCCGGCGTTGACTTTTTCCATTTTTATTTATTTATTTATTTTTCTTCCTGATATTCCGCCGGTCTCCGGCGTTGACTTTTTCAAACTTTTTTTTTTCCTTTAACATCTTTTTGCCCTCGTTTGATCAGCAATATTGCTTTAGTTGACAGTAATATTAACTATATTACTGTTAAACACAGTAATATTAACTATATTACTGTTAAACAGAGTAATATTAACTATACTACAATTTAACGCAGTAATATTTTTATATTAATCTCTAGCATAGTAATATTAACACAACAAAAGTCATTATTATTGTGTAATAGAGTAATATTAATATGTTGACCGTTCAACAAAAGTAAACATAATAAAAAGCGACAAGAATTAATTTTAATGTGGTTGACAGTATTACTGTAACAATAGTAAATTACCGTCAACCACAATAATATTATTGTGTTAACAGTAATATTACAATAGTAGACAATAATATTATTACGTTACTACGTCAACAACTCAAACAAAACAAAAAACCCAAAAATATAATAATATTGATGTGGTTGACAGTAATATTATTGTGTTTACACCTATTTTACTCTCAGCGATAGTAATATAATTACGTTGACTTGTCAACAAATCAAACAAAATAATAATAAAAAAAATAATAAAAAAAACATACAAGATAATAATTTTGTCGCTGACTCTACAATTACATAAATGTACTGTCAATGACAGTACAATTACGTTAATGTACTGTCAACGACAGTATAATTACGTTAATGTACTGTTAGTGACAGTATAGTTATTGTTATTGACAGTACAATTACGATCAACTTTTAGCAGCGGGCGTAAAAAAAACGGATAAAAATCTTAGGAAAAAAATTGAAAAAGTCAACGCTGGAGACCGGCGGTTAACGTCGGATACCGGCGCCGGAAAAAACAGACCAAAAAAAATCAAAATCGAAAAATCAAAAAAGTTAACGTCGGAGACCGGCGGTCAACGCTGGAAACCGGCGGCGGAAAAAACAGAACCGGGAAAATAATTCGAAAGAGTCAACGCTGGAAACCGGCGGCAAAAAAAAAATTCAGAAAAAAAAAGTCAAAATTAGGTTTTTGTTGTCAAAATTGATTTAATTGGGGTTACAATTAAGAATTTGGTGTAGAGGGTTGAGGGTAATTTTGTCATATACATTATTTTTTCCTTTATTTATAATACAGAGTAAAGGGATGGGCTTATTGGCGAAAGAGATATAGCCCATGAACCTAGAATAATTAAATGGTTGGTCTGGGACTTATGCACAAAAACCCCATAAAAGTAAGGTTGCTCCCGATAAACTTTTGAAATTTAATGACATCATTGACTTATGGTAAATTTGTTGGGGTATGTTAAGGGTGAAAAAGAAGAAGATTCGTCAAACTTCTGCCTTAACTGAGATATAAAAGCATATGACATCAAAAACATAAAGTTAAATTAATAAATATGGCTTATGGATGGGGGATTATCATCAATACATATCGCAAAACATTACAATGAATTGAAACTTCAATTTTATCTTTTAAATTGATCTTTACTTTTGTATTAATTTTACTTCAATTCCGTGCATCGCACGAGCTAAAAATCTAGTTAGTATTAATAATACAGTAATATTACTATGTGAGACAATATTATTAATATTGTAATATTACTACAAAGTGTTAAAAAAACATTTTTTTTAAGTGAAAATCAAAGCCCGAGACCGACTTGTAATTCATGTTTCATGAACGTTTTTGCACGTCCACTTTTGCAAGAGTAATTTTTTGCATTGTTTTGTACTCATATTTTTGTACTTGTTTCTTTGTGCGGGTGTTTTTGTGCATATTTTTTTATTTGTATTCAAGTACCAGTATTTCATTTTATTTTTATTTTTTTAGCGTTTTTGTGCATGCTCTTTTGTGGGAGTGCATTTTGTGCATAGTTATGGACTCATATTTTCTTGGATGTTTGTTGATGCGTATTTTGATTTTTTAAATGCAAAACTGATCTCCATGGCATTTCTGCTCCAAAAAATCTTGAAACTATAACATTACAACACTATATAGAAAATTTAGGCTTACATTGCATTTCGAAATAAGATGTCAAAATTAAGGGTTAGCCGAACGGGTAAAACCAGATGCTTTTCTTTTCCTTCTGCGCTTTTGCCTAATTTTCCAAAAACTCCAAAGGAGAAGAAGGCCTGCAAATTGCACGCACGCTAATAGTTAAAAAAAAATCAAGATTTAAGAAACAAGACATGGATATCATTTGTTAATCACAGGGAAAAAAAAAAGATGCCCCATTTTACCTGAAACTGCAACAGTAACAGGTATAAGCCAGTGACTAGCAACTAATTCTGGAAAATCAAGCTGCAATGGAATTTGAGTTAAGAAGATATATTAGCTTGTTGTTTATTACCATATAAGGTTTAGTTTCAAAGATAAGTAAGTGAAGTAATCATGAACCCATATATATATATATATATATATAGATGGCTTCTTACATCATCTCCATACAAGTAACCCAGGTACTTGTTCCCTAAAGAATTGTCATGTATCGACCTCAACTTGTTAACCGGAGGAATCTTGTGAGTGGAGTTTAAATGAATAGAAGCATAGCCGGGCAATCTGCGAGTTCTTCCCCTTACATTCAAATCATAGCCCTTTGTTCCCCATACTTGAAACCTTGAGTCACTCCCACAGATCAACTCCTTACCCACAACTGCAGAGTAAGTTGAGAAATTCACATCTGTTCTTCGAGATGGTAGTTGGTTATCATCCAAGTGCAGCGCCTTGTCTTGTCTATTTGAATCCACGAAAAGCACTGGATCTCTAATATTCTTTGCTGTAAAATCTAATATCTTTTTAAGGAGCCAATAACAATTTGTGACCATATGGCTGCTGTCCAAACAATTGGAGTCTCCATAGACTGTGATTCGTCCAGCACCAACCTCTAAAAGACCAAGGATCGGAGAATCTGCCTGCATTCATTACAAAATCACAACAATAAAAATAAAATAACTAAAAATATAATAATAATAATAATAATAATAATAATAATAATAATAATAATAATAATAATAATAATAATAATAATAATAATAATAATAATAATAATAATAATAATAATAATCAGGTAAGATCGAACTCGAACTCGAACTGACCTTGCTCATACCAGACAGAAGGACATTCTGTGTAGCACCACTCTCAGAACTATCGAGGAATGGAAAGCTGTGCAAGTAACCACCTTGAGGAAACTTGACAAGATCAGTTCCTGATGCATATCGGCTCTGCTCTCCGTTAATAACAAAATCGCCATTTAGAATCTTATCTCCAAAAGCTATTCCAAAATATGCCAAAAGATCATTCAAAGCAGGTACATTAGCTCCACCAGTGACAGGTGTCCACCAGCTTCTCGTATTATCATCAAAAAACTTCATTTTCATCATAGAGTCAACATTGTACCAATCAGCAAAAACTGCAACACCCAGTCCATTATTAATGATGTCATCTTTTAATTTATTTATTTCTTCGGGAAAGTATTCTTCTTCAAGATCTACCAAGAGAAGTGTCCCATATTGGTTAGCATCAAAGCAAGTAAAAGGAGAACCGAGAGTTTCGACATAATATCCAGCATCCCTTAACATGTTAAACATGATGTGGAAGTTTGTATGCAAGTGGTCACCATGCCAGTCAAGTATGTCATTCCTAACATCCAATGAATCTCTAGGGATATAACCAGGTGGGTATTTTATACTATGAAATTGATCCCATAAGATCCTTTGTGATCTTTGAGGAGTGGGAATAACTTTTAGTTTCAGCCGAAGAATGCAGCTACTTTTTCGACCACTTTTCTCTCCTTCAGCTGGTGGGCTGTAAACATTAAAAGTTACATTCCCTTGTATTTCACCAGAAAAATTCACCCCTTCATCTTTGATTTGCATGTAAAGTGCCAGATAACCAGTCCACGGCCAAATAACATCTGAGTAGTTAAAATGAATGCTGACAAGATTGCCTTCCTCGTTGGAAGGAATCCATACTGGAGGATTTTCAACATACCCAATTACACCCATTCCATTCAAAATGGTTACATTAAATATCACCGGCATGGCCCCTGCATACAATGGTTGACGGCAAAAAGGCCAAGAATAAGGGCAATCCGTATAGTCAAGGACACTTGGAAATATGCTTGCTCGAGGTTTATAGCTCTTCAAAATTTCGTAAGATTCCAGTCTGATCATGTTAAAATTATTCAAATAAATACTCGAATAAAAATTCGTATTTTGGTGAATAAAAATCGTATTGCATTCATATTTGAAACAAACACGTAAAAGAAATACTCACAGATCAACCCTGCCTGCTCCCTGCTCGTACATGTTTGGACCGGAGAGCTTCGAAGCACCTTCAACGAGTGCTTGTTTCATACTGCCTGGATTCAAAATATCTTTTCTCTTGTTTTCAGGAATCACACTAACAAGAAGGCACACTATTCCAGCAACCACAGGACTAGCTACACTTGTGCCTGATAAGCTTTTACAACCCGTACTTATCTTGGACCCCATAATCTCCCTTCCATAAGCCACAATATCAGGCTTTACACGACCATACCTGTTCAGTAAGAAACTCTATTTTTCAACTTTGACAAGTTATTAAAACTCTACAAACATTATGTTATGAAGAGTTTTTCAAGTTTAACGGCATCTCAACTTTGCAAGTCTCACACGTTTCTCTCTCTCTTTACCTACTAGCCCTATGCTTCCCCGTGTTAAAGCTAGCCTATTATATATCAATCAAAAGGCAACACTGACAATTCAAGAGAAAATAGAAGCTCCAACTGAATATAATTTTGAGACACGTGTTGTACTAATAAGAGTTCTCTTTATTGTGATTTTTCCTCTTTCACTATAAAATCATTTCAGAAATGGGCAAATATTTCAGGATCAAGTCATACAGACGATGATCAGCTGTCTATTCCAAGAATCAGCTACCATTATTTTCCCCAAGAATAACTCTAAGTAGATCGTATTAGAATTGAAGAAGCAATATTTTTCGTTTTTTTTTTCTTTTTTTGTATAATAATAATAATATTGAATAAAATCACACCAATCATTTGCATCCATGCATCTAGCAAATGTAAAGGCTCAAACAAGTGTTGAAAATATGTTACTATTCAGTGGATTTGTGCTGCAAACTCAAAGAAAATACAACTTCAGTTTCCAAACAATCAATTTCATAAAAATGACACAGCATGTACATAACCATCTTCTAAAAGAGGAAAAAATTAGAAAGAAAGAGAAGAATATTCTAGGAGCCTTAACAAAATTAGACGCAAGGCCAATACATTACCCGTGAGGAATCTCCCAAGTACTCATGCCACGTGAGGAAAATGATGCTATGTGATCGCTATAATCAATGCCGCCAACACCAATAACATCACTTTGATCTGCAGGGTTGTTCAGAGTTCCATAAAGAGGTCCATCGTTTCCAATAGCTGATACCATGATGACATTATTAGCTGTAATTTCCCAAACCTAGTAAGAGAAAAATAATAACAAAAGCATCCGGTCAATAGGATACTTAGCATATGTGCATGATATGAAGGTAATCAGATTTTTACATGATGTCAGTCAGTCTCATAACTCTACATAGTCCAGTATTCACAAGTACACGGACAAAATAAAAGAAATCACGTATTTAATCTAACCACTCGACGAAGGGCTATATAAGTGGAAATTTTTGCATGCAAACTCACAAAGTCGACATTTCTATGAATTTAATATGTACAAGGTGTGCAGTTTTCCTCAAATATAAGATACTTACTCTTCAGCTATCTTCCCTTCCCCTTAACATATCTCACTAGTTGACAGCGGAATGCAGATTACAAACTTCGGTCTAAGAATCGTACCCTACATACATGCACTTTCACCACCCATTTTGACTACTAAAGAACGAAAGAAAGGTTGTATTCAATAAGTGCCAAATCAAAATAAATTGAACTGAAAGTTAAGAAAATCAGCACCATTTTAACTTTGAAACTAAAGTTAAGAAAATCAAAATGGCCGCCTATATCACCCAGTCCAGCTTCTATATATCCAACGGATGGAAGGGTAATGGCTTTCATTGTCCTTTCTCAATCAAGAATTGAGACCTTAACAAACAAACCAGTAGATATGCCATCTAATATTGGAGTTAAAAACTTCCCATTAGAGAAACTTTCGCTATGGTTAAGGTCCTTATCGTTATCACACATGCACTGGGACGGGCGCTGCTAACAATCATGATAAAGCATTCTTTTCTGTATGGCTGACCACATTTACAAGTGATTCAGAACAAAATACTTGATCAAACCGTCTAGTAATTGAAATTTATTCAACAAGAAAGAAGACAACAAGATCAAGGGTGTAAGATGCCTAATTAAACTGGTCCAGAATAGTATTTTATTCAAAGAAAAATATCAAATATCTGCTGTTTCTTTTGTATATTACCATTAGCCCTTCAGTTCAAAGAAGCACGAGTTCTTCAGTAGAAGAGTTAAGAAACACAGCAATTAGTACTTTCTTCGCAAAATGCATTTAAAAGGTACATTGACAAGCAAATAAACAGTAAGTAGACAAAAACTAAGAAGGCAAAGAGGAGATGGAAAAAAGATTAGCATACAGACTAGTTCCGCTAATACCAAAAGCAAGAAGTCATAATTTCTTAAACTAGATACGATGAACATATTGACCATATTCTCACCTTCTCGACAAATGGGAGATCCAGATAATCAGGACCACCAATGCTCAAATTCAGCACATCCATCTTGGTTGCAATAGCATAATTGAATGCATCAAGAAACCATGATGTATATGAAACCTGCAATTAGCTGAAAAGAAGTTTCTCATAAACTTCCTAAAAATAATCCAGGTAATTGGAAGAAAATAAAAAAACGTGCGAACGAATGCTTGGTATAAAAGTGGAAACCATATTACATATGTGTTGACATGTAGCCTTCTGTACTTTTGGTGTTTCCTTCTTCATATATATTAAGGGTCGATTCATAAAATGCTAAGAATTAATTTGAATACTTTACATTCATATAGTTGCAAGAGGTTCGTATACAGCAAATACCAAACCAGGTAGTGCAGTAGATGAGTAAGATTGTCACAATTCAAAGGCAGTTCTGATAAGAATTCGACAGGATAAATAAAAGAACACTAATTCGACACTTCAACATTTGTTCGTCAAGTTTAATGCTAAAGCAATGACACTTACATTCTGCCTTTAGCATGTGTTCAACTTAAAAAAGATAATGAGAATTATATCCTCATATCACGCTTACAATATTAGCTATTCACTATTCATAGACATCAACATGTAGACAACAAAAGAAAATGATCACTTAGGGAAAAACACCCCAAGAAATGTAAAGAGACTCCACATTTATCTGCATGAGACGTACATAATCTTTTTTATGTTTCAAACTAGATTGGTGGGACTTGGAACTATAGTGTTGTTATGCCTGTAACTCAGATTTGAGCTGGTAGCAGGGAAAAATAAACTCATGGAATTAAGTTCTTTAATAAAGCAACGAACCACATCTTTGTCCATTAAAGTAGCCCTAGGACTCAAGTAATCATTCACTATAAATCTTTTGTTAACTAATATTTACTTTGGAGATTGAGTTTATCAATAAGTTTCAACCATTCAACACTTTATATCTAATTTTTAGGCCTTGCAAGTTTGCACATTCTGGCTGAGGACTTGTGGGGCGCAACAGGTAACATCATAAAGAAACATTTCACTCATCATTCTGCTAAAAAGAAATCGTAACCAAAATTGTATGTCGGGGGGGGGCGGGGGGGGGGGGGAATTTGACAGTACAAATCCGTTTTGAATAGAATGAATGCTTGATCTTAGGTCCGGACGGACAATAAAGGTCAAAATTAAAGCCAATTCATTTGCAAAACAGCTAAATAGGTTGGGCCTAGTTCTGATGCTGTAATAACAATTATAGGTACAAACATACAAAAAGCATTACCTGTGCATCAGTGAACACCCGAAAGGCATAGATTTCAGTGTCTGGAGCAAAGCCGAGACATTCTACATCTTGACCAGCAATAACACCAGCCACAAATGTGCCATGTCCAAGATTGTCATTTAGTGTATCTTCGTTGGTCCAATTGGTGCGTTCCTAACAATCGTTCAACCATTATAAACAACTAAACCAGAAGAGAAGGAGACAAATGAACCACCTCGTTACAGTTTTTTGCAGCAGCCAAAAGGTACCTTGATATTACGAAAATGTGGATGATTTGAACGAATCCCTGTATCAAAAATAGCCATTTTTACTTTTGCACCAGTATAACCTTTTGACCAAAGAGCATCTGCGCCGAACAAGGAGGTAACTTGAGATTTCTGCAACAAATAGAGTCGGACTATGATGGGGGACAAGTTCACAAAGGAATTGAAAGCAACAAGGAGAAATATGCAGGCCTAAACAAATTAGCATCCTAAACTAAGTCAATAAGGTCACGTAACAAACATCTTTTCTCTTCCACATTTACTGTAAAGAATTACCACACAAGTAAGCAAAACCTAACAATGGCTAGGAATTTGAGTACACCTCTCAACAAGATAATTTTTATAGCTTACAATCAACCACATGAACAGAACCACAAATGACAAAGCAAACAAATATCCACATCCAGACCACGCCAGAGGCATATCTTACATCAGAAATAGGAGGAATTCAGAATCGGCTGATAGTTATTATGAGCCGTTGAAAAAGAGGGAAGTCTGACAGGTGAATAAGTATAGGACTTTGTTAGTTTAGTATATCTTTTCTTTCATAACTTCAAGAATTGAGGGCAGTGCGGTAATGTTAAAATTTTATTATCACTCCTCAGCTAAAATTCGATGAGGTGAGAAGGTAAAGTCACAGGATAAATTATTTAACAGTTCCCAGTTAGAATTCAAATCTCAGTAATAAAGTTGTCTCTCAGATATCAATACATATTACTTGTAATGTTTCCTTATTTTGATAGAGTAATAATTATTTAGAACTCGTGCATTGTAGTTGCAAATTTTTAAAAGAGTTGTAAGATCTTTAATCTTTTGCCCTCTTCTTGTTCCTCTTTTTTTCCGGCTACAACTCCTCATCTTTCTATCAGTTCCAGCATTTTTTAAATATCTCTTATCATCATAAACTCACTATCATAGAGCCATTTCTTACGTAATAACCTAATTAAGAAAATCCAACGGAAAAACAATGACCAACTGTCCATAATGGAACAAAACATTGGCTCTATATGTATTCTAACTTCCTTCATTGCCCAGATCCGTGGGCCTCAGAATTATTTCACTAGATTTTCCAGATTTTGATATTTGAATCTGTTTAGCAACTCAAATCGAATACTCGACTCCTCGAAATTCATGAATTCAAGTTGACAGCAGCATATTCATAAAACATATGCTACAACAACATGACGAGAAGAAAGATTGTGAGTATAATTCTGAATAGTAAGTATCAGCTACAATGAAATGCAAATGGTGACAAAAACATGGAAGAAAATATGGAAAACATTGTTTTTGGTCAGAAAAAATCAATTTGTAAGAAGCAGCCGTTAGACATTTTTTTTTATAGCCACTTTGATTGCTCAATAAAACGGTATCGTAAAAGTAAGTTTGAAGATCTGTTAGAACATTAAAACATAATTAATAATCTGATGTGAATCTAAGGCGCAATTCTTGTTGATTGATACTTGTTGTTAATGAGGCAACGAGAAAAATCAACAAGTTAATGGAAGTAACACTAGACAGTGAACAAGTACACTAGAGGTGGAAGTTCACCTGCATCATCAGATTCCTCCTCCTAGTCGTCGTCGTTGTATTTGTATTTGTATTTGGGAAAAAGGCATCATCATCTCCTTGAGCAGCAGCAAAGGACATGGATGTGAAAATCTTGCCGGGCCTCTTTTGGGGATGCTGATGAAGAACACCCCTTTGATAGCTTAAATCCAAAGAAACATCCTTCACCAGATCCAATTTCCCCAACTCCCCAATCAAAAAATCCTCAATTCGCTCATCGATAACAACAAGGGCAAAATCGGTAGGAAACTTCATAGCGGGGTTTTGCCTCTCCACCCATTTCCAGCCTTTGGATTTGACGTTGCGCTCCAGATACTGTTTCAGATCCTCGGCTTTCTTATATTGGAAAAATCGGATAATATGACTCTTCGAAGGCGCCACAGGTGAAGTAGAAGAGGAGGTCTGGCGGCCATGGGAGTAGTAGACAAGAGCATGATGATGATGATGATGATGATGGTACACAAACAACGATACCAGCAGGATTACGAAAGAGATGATGATTGTTACGATACCTATTTCAGAGCTTAGACGACGACGGCTCATCACGCAAATTTTACAATTCAATTTACATAATCAAAATCAAACCCTACTTCTTCTGCAAATCACCCGATCTCTATATTCATTCTTGCAAACAATTAATTATCAATTTCCAGGGCAATATTTTCAAGGGCTTATTTCCATTTCCCTTTTTTCAAAAATAATTATGTTTTCAGAATAAAAATAATATTTTGAAATATTTTGAAAAGCGAAAAAAAAAAAAAAAAAAAAAAAAAAATAATAATAATAATAATAATAATAATAATAATAATAATAATAATAATAATAATAATAATAATAATAATAATAAAAGAGTCAAATCATGTATGTCTAAAGTAATGGCATTTAGAAAAAAAGAAATTAAAAATTGAAGTAATATTAGGGTTGTGCATCTAAGACTCCTAAGGCTAATTTGTTAGACACCCCTTATTTTGGACTTATATAGGTAGTGATTCTAGTTGCTAGATGAATATAGGCATAGGTCATTTGACCCAAAAGAATAATATAAATAAAATAAAATAATTAGTATATAAACATAAATATCCTCAATTAATAAAAAAACAAATCTCATATATCCTCTCTCCAATCTCACGTATCTCTTAACTTATATTTAATCTCTCATCTCTCTTCATATGTATCTCACGTATTTCTCACCATATATTTAATCCCTCATCTCTCTTCATCTGAATCTCACGCCTCTCTCTCTCTATCTCGTTCTTCTCTGTTTTTTTTTCTTTTTCTATTTTTTTATGAAGAAATATTGTAGACACGGAAAAAAAACAAGGATGTTATTAAATTATGAGATGATTTCTTGGAGAAAGAATTAAAGAGGACAACAAACATCCCCTCCCCTCTCCTAAAAAAACATTCAAAAATCCAAAATTCCAGCCAAAATTCGCATTGTGTCTCTCATATGTAGAACCTTCATATCGTTTGTTATTAGTAATTTTCGTTTGCAGGTTGGTTAACTTCGTTTGTTGTTTGAAAAATTGCGTATGGTGTTGAGATTCGATTCCTCTGGTTTACAATTTGCAAGGTATGTCTTAAGTTACATTTTACAAACACTTTGTTTAATGTTTTTGTTGTTTGCAACGTGTTCCATAAACAATTCTTTTATTGGTGTTTTTAACGATGATGATTTATTTTTTTTCAGTTTGATGTTTGCATTTGGCGAAGTCATAGGTAGTTTATTGCTTGCAATTCATTAATGCAAGTTCTAGAGTATTATTTTTCCTCAGTTTGTTGTTTGCAATTTGGCGAAGTCATAGGTAATTTTTTGTTTGCAATTTAATAATGCAAATTCTGGAAAAAAAATTTCAGTTTGCTCTTCGCATTTGACGAAATCGTAGGTATTTCGTTGTTTGCAATTCAATAATACAAAATCTAATTTTCAGTTTGCTATTTGCAGTGCACAGAGTATAGGCGTCGCGGGAAGGGTCATAGTTCCCAGATTCATCGGTCAGGTTTTTAGAGTATGAGTTTGTAAAATAAATTGTATATTTTTTTTATGAATTAATTTAATTTTTTAGTTAATATTTGGAAGAGAAATTTTTGAGAATTGTTTTGATTGAGAGATTTTTTTGGAATTTGATTTGATTTTAACTAAGAGTATTTTTGCCACAATAAATATTATTAATTTATTAAAACATGGAAATGTTGACTTGGATCTAAACACATAAATTATAATACAGAGGGACCTATAGAAAATTACCCCTATTAGTTATGATGTGTTTGGGCATGGATGCCAAAAAAGGCGGCCACTATATGCAATCGCAAAATTTACTTAGGGCAAGAACAAATTAAATTTTATAACAAATTAATTGTAAAAAGATTGACCTTAGAAAAATATAAACAAAATAAAACTTAATTCTATTAATTACTCTTGCAAGACCAAATTTAAAAAAAAAAAATGAAAACGCAATTGCAAAACGGGAGGGAAGAAAGAAGAGGACCGCTTGCAGATTCGCCGTTGCGCCGTCGCCGTCGTCGATGAAGTCGACCACCGCCTTGTAAAATTTCGACACACTGGTGTCGAATTTTTCACTACATTTCGACAATAAGTTGTTTTCGATTATTTGCACTTTTTTCGACATTTGTGTGTCAATATTTTGTTCAAAATTCGACATCAATGTGTCGATTTTTAGCAATTAAACGACATGTTGGCGCCGATTTTTTCAGAAACTGAAAAATTCGACTCTATAATGTCGTTTTTAAAGCTAAATATCGACCTGTAAACGTGGAATTTTTGTATACGGGAAATTATTTACGAAAAACGAGAAAAACAAGAAAAACGATCACAAAACTTAAAAAAATACAATATTTCTTATCCCATTGTGTTCTTCGACCTTATAATCATCCATGTTGATGTCTTGTGTGTCCATAATGTCCTCCTTTACAAGTTTTAGTAAGATTTGAGCGTTTTGTTTGATGAGGGTTTTTTGAGAATATGAAAGAGTTTTTTTTTTGAGAAAACGTGTAGAAGGAGAAGATGTTGGGTTTTGTTGGTGAAGAAGAATGGTCATTTTTCATATCTTTTTTTTAATTTTTTTTGGTATTGCAATAGCAATTAGGCATTTTTTGAATTAATAATATCAAAATTAATATTGGGGCTATATTTGTAATTTTCAGTCTTGCTATTAGTAAATTTATCTATATTTTGGTCTTGTATGAAGTAAGGTCTTGCCCTTAGAAATTTTGAGATTGCAAATAGGTGCAGCCGCCAAAAAAATTGATGTGAAGAATCTTCGAAATGTTGGGACAAATAAAATGTGGATATTCATTCTCGGTAATAGAAATCGACATGACAGATTATGGTAGGTAGCTGGGAGAGATGGCAATTCCAGCATTTTATCTTCCGGAACAAGGTATGAGTAGTCGTTTGACTGAGGAGTTGTGTAAATTACTGAGAAACAACCGCGTGAAGTCAAAAATATTGTTTCATCATTTGAGAAAATATAATACGAAGACAATAATGTCCTTAAAACATATCTACAATGAACTTGAAAAGATGAAAAAAGAGGAAATGAGGAAGAAGACACCAATAGTCAATAGTCTAATCATTTCCTCGTGATTTTCGTAGTACTCTGCTTCGATTGTTGATTTCAGTAACCTTGCCCAATGTCCGCGCCATAACAAAAGACAATGGTTTCTAACTTATAAACTTCATCGCATTTGCCTCAACGTTTTTGTTTACAATAAAACATTTGTCAAAGCTTGGACTAATAAATTGTTGCATTTTGGTAACACACTAAGAGGTATTTCATGTTTGAATTATGTTGAATTTTTCTGTCAGAGCTATTAATGCTCTGCATGATCTGCTTTATTTAGGAATTTAACTTCAACTGAATCAGATTAGAGTGGACTTTTCGTAATCCAACACAAGCAACGTATCCCTCGTTTTAAGGTTGAATATGCAATGTCACGCATAAGACACATGATTTGTTCGATGATGAGCTCGATACACCGGCTTTACAAGATCCAGATAGTTGTACCCACGTTCTTAATGTTACCCTTAAGAATTCCGTATGTGTGCCAAATTGTGAGAAAAATCCAGGAACGAGACACGTTTATAGATTTGGAGTTACATCCATTATGGAGTGACATGCATGTTGAAAAACCGGAACTACTCGAATCACAACCTGGTCGTCAATTGGCAATGGAAATCCAGATTCGCAGATTGGTAGTTAAATTGGAAGAAATGGATTACATGACTCAAAAATAATTGTAGAATACATGAGTAACACTATCAACCATGGCACAATCCACTTGGTCGAGTCTACATTTGTTAAATTGAAAGGACGATCGAAGAATAGCGTGACGAAGAAAGATAAATTTGTATTGGAGTACCCACGTTTCCCTGTGGAAGACACAAAAAATAAATCGTCTTCGGGTTTGAGGGGTCAAAAAATTGCTTCTACTGGAACCTCTCAATCGAAAGTGACTGGTCGTGGTCGTGGTTAATTAACTGATGAATTTGCTGTCAATTTGATTCCTCTTATGGCTCCGACTGGAGAACTTGATTTCTATTCTTACATCCTAGCATTTGTGGCATGAGATATTTTGTCTTATATTAATGTCTCCGCATATGAAAACTGCGGGTACATATGTGTTGCTCGGGTACATATGTATTGCACAAGCTATGTACGAAGATCAAGACAGATGAACTTGGTTGCTAAGTTGTATAAACGCTTCGCTACGTACGTGGGTATGTACGTCAATGATGAAGAAGGATAGAAAGCAATGACCCGACATATTTTTATAGTTCTTCAGGTGCAGATAGCTTTACGTGGCATTTTTATATTTGTTGTTCGTGTCAGTAGGTGACCGGCAAGCCAACTTGAGGTTGTGGTATTTCCCCTACTAGTATGAAACAATCTATTTTTTATTATTGAAATTCACCTATTGGCATTCTATATTTGTAGTTCCATAGATATATTCTTAACGATTTACTATATTACATTGAATTGGTCTAGTAGAATCGTGAGATAATTCATTATAAGTAATATAACTGTTAAACCAGTTCATAGTCCATGGGTTACGCCAATAATGAGGATATCGGCTTTTCCCTTTCGAGACTAGCACTTACTGTATGTGTATTGCGTCTCATTAGTCATCAATGTTGTGTCATCGGCATTTTTGAGTGGGTCCTCATATAGATGAGTTCACTGAAATCCCTCGCATTATAAATCTCTAAGTGGTTCCCAATTATTCAGTAAAGGTTTCCATGGTATAGTTGTTCACTATTAATCCTTAAGACCAAGACATCACCGTGGCTTCACTAAAGGAACAGTTGTATCGTGACTTGTCCTTGAGTCTCATCAAAGACTGCTCCAAGGGTCAATGTTCGTGCAGTCTGAAACCTAATGTGACATTTGTGTACTGTAGTAGGGGGTTCACGCAGTGATAAGTCATTGAATGTCATGTGTGTTCTGTCAGTTTATAATCTATGAAATCTCTGGCCAGAGTTGATAGTGGGGTTATTATATAAAAATATATTATCTATGTCACACACAAACGAATTATATTACTTAGAACGTTCGCACAATCATCAAACTAATAAGAGGTCTCGGTGGACCAATGTCTACTGTTTGATCGGGACATATGCGTTGAAGGGATC